AGAAAGTTAGAGAAAAGAAAGAAAATAGAGTCAAAAAAAGAGACTTGCTTTCTTTAGCTATTGCCTGCTCATAAGCAAGTATTTTCAGCAGATGCTACTTCTGTGTCCTCCTGAGAAAGAAGGAAAAGTTCAGGACTGCAGAGGGGGAAATCCAAATGCACTTGCTACTGATTCTCTGAATCTTCAGTAGCTTGGCACTAAATGCATAGAGCTGCAATTGCCTGTGTTCCAAACTGTATGAGAATTTAATTTATGAGTGGAGTGGCCCCCTATCTCTCTCACTTGCCCTGTCCATTCTTTGTATCATAGAATGATTTGAGTTGGAAGGGACCTTAAAGTGCCAGTTCCAACTCCCTGGAACAGGCACACCTTCCACTAGAGCAGGTTGCTCCAAGCCCCGTCCAACCTGGCCTTGAGCACTGCCAGGGATGGGGCAGCCACAGCTCCTCTGGGCAACCTGTGCCAGCACCTCAGCACCCTGACAGGGAAGAGCTTCTTCCTATTATCTAGTCTCAGTTTCTCTTCTGTCAGTTTAAAACCAACCCCCTTGTCCTATTACTACATGCCCTTATAAAGCACAAAAAAGGAAAGCAGTGAGTAGAGACCTGCCAAGATCAAGTGGAGCAATTGCTCCAACTCCCTTTTGCTCCACTTCCCTTCTTCAGGCAGTTTACCTTGGCACAAACTTCATTACAAGAACACCATGTGTCAGATGAGCAGACACGTCGGGTATGGGTGGATTCCCAGGCCTGTGTCACACAGCCACACATGCCACTCTTTCAGCAAGGCAGGGAGCAAACAGGAGCTTGGCCCATCACTCCCATTCTCCCAGGGAGGCTAGAGGGAGTAAAATCTAGGGCTCAGATTCAGCAACTGCCAATTTACACATTTTTCCTCAGAGAAAGGAGAACAACTGAAGAGATTTTGGAGAGAACATTTTTTTTGCCTTCTCTGATTGCAGCCTTATTACCTGCCAGGGTTCACTCTGCTTCAGTTGGTATCCTTCCAGAGATGAGTCGTGAGCAGAAGGTAAGGCTAAAGGAAGTTGAAGTCCCCTTTGAAATTTTACAACATTGAAATGCAAAATCATCCATAGGGATACGGATCACCTGGAACAGTGGCAAAGATCTAAGGTATTTGGCAAGGCTGAAGTAGCAGGCACAGCTGAAAAGATGAAAAGCATTTGGGAGGTGACACAGCAGCATACTGATGGCTGCATGAAAAGAACCACTACTCTAAAAGGCACAGAGAAACCAGATCTCCAAACAGCAAATCTCAAGATGGTCAAGTGTACCTATACCTGTACAAGACTCAGGTTTCAAGCCACATGCAAGGGCTGTAGGAAAACAGTCTGTTCAGACAGCCTTACAGTGCAAAGGACCAGGTCTGACCCAAGTGCTTAACAGTGCACCATTTATACTGTTTCCACACCAGTCTGCAGTGGAAGATGGTAGAGGAGACCCACACTCCACTGGTCAGAGCATCCTGCACCACCAGGACCCATTCCTGAGTGGAATGCAATTGCTTGGAATATCATTCCTACCCCCCACCCCCCAAAAAAGAGAAAAAGCCTCTTTGCAGCCTTATTACCTCTGACGATTGAGCCGCTGCCTGTAGCACCCTTTCCTCCTGAGGACAGCAGGACTGCTCAGCCAGAGCCTCCAGCAGCAGTGGAGGTGGCTACAGGCAGGGACTTTGCCAAGTGTTATGCAAAACTTTTCACAGGCATTGGATCACATGAATATATGCTTAAAGCAAGGCAAGAGTTGAACTGTGATGAACTGACAAATGGTCTTGAGCAACAGACAAAAGCAGAGCAGGTACATGGCTGTATGTCAGATGAAAATGGCTTCTTGTGACAACTATTCATCCGCCCTACTTTGGATGTGGTAAACATGCTGAAGGTAACTGCAAACCCCTAAGCACCAATGCAACAGCCTTGTGTACTTCAGACACCAAAAGCTTCATTTAAGATCACAGGGCACCTTATCTGTAGCTCTTGCTCTTGTGCAATTACTACAGTATCCATATGCAGAGAAAAATGGAGCATCAGTGACTGTAATGAACATATTTCTTGCCTAAACTACCTCCTTGGAACACCTCAAGAGTAGCTTAAAGCACAGGTCAAAAAGTCCAAGTAGTTATTGCACTGAAGGGATAAGACTTGAAAGGCTCCAAGGATGAGAAATGCCAACTACTGCCAATACCACAAACTGATCTTAAAACAGATACCATGACAAAGAGAACAGGATGGGCACAGTCTTCAAAGGACAGTCATTTTTCATTGCCTATCAGCAATGGTTCAGTTCTAGCACAAGGTCTCCCTATGTGCTATAATTATACTTTCAGATGTGCTCACAGGCAAGTATTTCCCAAAACTAGTTTCCATTTGAGTGGAAGTGACTGAATCTGACACGTATGCTGCAAGTCAGACACACCACTGGATGGAAACAGCCTGGCCATGCTTGGGGGAGGCAAGAACTAGACAATCCTGAAGGTCCCTTCCAACCCAAACCATTCTGTGATCTATGATCTTCTAAATCAAATAGATTAACAGCATAAAATCATACACTTGTGTGCACACCCTCAAATAGTTCTTTCAGCGTCACCCTTGAGGCAAAGCCACAATCCAGCGGCAAACACTTGACAAATTAGAGCGCTCAAGTAGCCCAGATAGAAAACAATCCTTCAAGTTCACAACTCATGCTGTATTTCTGACAAAGCAGCAGCAGACAGGGCTGGGGACAAGCCCAGCAAGCACACACACAGCACACCCATGGGGATCACAGGTTAGTCCATTAGTAAACACTGAGGAGCTCTGCACCATTGCAGGGAAAGCAGATGATGAAGGACCAGAACACCCAGCCCAGCACACTTCATTCTGCTGAAAAGAAATAGCCACAAAGAGCCGCTATTCTTGCCAAGACATCCAGCAGATCAGTAGATCCTTTAAAAACAAAAGGACTGTTAAATGTTCCTTCACCACCCTTCTGGCTGCAGGAACAACATAATCGCCACCTGCTTCCTAAACAACCCAAGTTGTACAGACCAATTTGTACAGAGGATCCAGCAAGTGACAGTACGTATCTTTAACCCTGGTGCTTGCATGAAAGTTCAGTGGTTCCATGCAAGTCATCCCTAACCCACCATGCTTGCACAACAAATGCTTGTTTTACACTGTAGTGCTCTCTTCCTATAGCTCCTTCACTACCCTGCTCCCTCCTCACTGCCAGACCTTGCAACACTTGGCACGCCCTGACTTTTTTGGCTGTCTTTGAAGCTCAGCATTTCACTAATTCATTTCCATGCTTTTTTTGTTCTAAGAATTCCTTTGTGAAGTCTGCTCAGTCTTGGGAACCAACGCTGTGCTAGTGTGTGCCTTTTATAACCAGGAGCTCAAGCATGAAATGGGAGAAAGCCTGAGCATATGTATACTCACACAGTAACATCAATGAGTTGGAGAACAGAGCTCGCATGAGAGATGGGTAACAGTTTCCTGGCCTAGAAGGTGCTTTCCATTTAGGAAGATGAAAATTGATTTCTCCATTCTGGTTCAATTAATTACTATAGCCAGAACCATGTGATCAAGCAGAGTAGATGCTTTAGACCAACAGATTTTCTGCCAGTACTTTCAGCAGTAAGTGGGGCTGAAGGCTGCCACTTACAGCAGTGCTGAGCCATAGCCAGGCTGGCTTTCACTGTGCTCCATCATCCCTAGAGCCTACATTTTCCTTCATCTTCAAGGATCTCAGACACAACTTTCCTTCCCATCTTACCAGCACACCAGACTTCAAGACAACTGACAGCCGTGCTTGGTGCCACCGTCTCTTGGGGCTCCCTCCCAACTCCTGTGTTAAAACCCAAATCCACACAGCTTTTCAGGTAGGATATCTTTGGATAGCTTTTCTTATGCACTGTCACCACTACGCAATTTCTCCAGAGCAGCAACTCCTCTCGTCCATTCGCTTCTGTGGTTCAGACAGTGGTTTTGCAGATGGGTGATATAACCTCACGAACAAGTCAAGCCAGCTTGCGACTCAGTTCAATCAAACATGACGATAATAATCTGCACCTATCCTCCATGGATGCTGTAACAAAGCTTCCAACTCTTTGAGCTACAAACCACACTCTGGTTCCCTGCCTTTAAATTATGAGGCCAGGCTGGATGAAGCCTTGGGTGATATGGTTTAGTGTGAGGTGTCCCTGCCCATGCAGGGGGGTTGGAACTTGATGATCTTAAGGTCCTTTCCAACCCTAACTATTCTATGATTCTATGATATGTGCAAGTTCTGCTACAAGGAACAGATCCAAGATTCTCAAAGCTGAGTATTCTACCAATTTGAATTGGGACTAGTTGAGTTAAATTGATTTTTTTTAATGCACTTATCTTCTACAGGGACTTTTTCCCCCCCTTAAATGCTGATTTGCTGAAACTGTGCCTATCCAATACTCATTACTGAATTGCATGGAAAGCTGCCAAAAGCAGCAATGCCTTCTGGACTAAACATGGGATTTATTACTGAGAAACCACAGCACAGGGTAAAAATCCATCACAAACTTATTGATTTAAACTGATTGTAAGTAATCGCACCCAATTTATAAGTGAAACATACTGCCATCTAATTTAGAGTCAGTGAATTGAGCACTACTACTCCGAATTCTGTTTAAAAGCAAACTCTAACTGATATCCAAATAGAAATAATTGAAGCTTTCAGAAAACATGAATAAAATATTTCTTTATTTCTGTTTATTATGTATTGATAGGTCATTTTTACCTATTTAAAAATAGATAGTAATTATAGTATTATACTTCAGCAGGAATTTATATGAGAGCCTTGGACAAGTACTGTGCCTACAGCATGGAGAAGAGAATTTGACGCATGGGATGCAGTTTAAATGACTTCAACTCACTCTTAATATAGAAACGTCAAACTTTACCTACTTTCCACCCAAAACATGATGAAATAAAGTCATATATTTTACTAAAACATGTATCTCACCTCCAGAGGAAGCATCTTAGGATGAAAATTGTATTGTATGGTACAAGTTATCACTGCAGCACCACATCTTCCCTCCAAGATCCCATTCAGTAAATTGTTCTTGTCAGTCTCTTTTGCTACGCCTCATAACTGGATCCCAATTCTCAGCAGCATTACTCAGTCTATAGCCAATTTTATTTCTAAATAAATGGTTGAAGATACTTGCTGTTCTTCTAAACTGTCAGTGTGCAAACACTGCCAGGAAAAAACAACATGATGGCTCAGAATCCTCTCTCACATTCAGAAATTTGGCTATTAATATTTAAATATGTAAGAACATACTACTTTTTATTAATAGAATCACTTCTAGCAAGAGCACAGTGTGCCACCACTTCCAGTATTCAACTGGCTTCATGGCTTTTGAAGACCAGAAACTCCTGGAAACTCCTTCTCAGGTCATATTAAAAGACTAACATGTAACTTCGCAACAGGAGCACTTGCGCCAGATCACAACATGATCAACTTAATAGGTCCACCAGACACATTTCAATTGTTCTTCCCACTGCAGTTTGGGTTCAGACATTTCATCAGCTGCCTGTTTGCAGGAAGGTGCATTTCAAGTCTTGTGTGAAGATAAAACCATAAATAAGGTGTTCAGATGGCCTTCTGACACTATGAAAATGTTAATGCTCTAACATATGTTGCACTCAGGAGTTTTAACCTCACCCTGCACCGAGTGGCACCATTGTCCATAATTAGCATCACTGCAACTCAATAAAGTCCATTTGCAGAGTGCACTGCAGGACTGGGCCCTCAGGAATTGGTTATGTTCCTGTAGCTGATTATATTGCTGCATACCTTCAAGAAGTCAACAGCTCTGTACCCAAACCATGATGTACTCCTGTTTACCTAGTTGGTACTAGCCATATGCTAGCTGTTAGTTTTGTACAACTAAACATTTCCATTTATATAAACTTCCCCATTTTTATCATAATGTGGCTCTTGACACCAATCCCATGATTCAACACTGCAAAAACCTCTGCTTTTCTGCTGCTCCAAGATGAAGGAATACTCAACTGTCATGGCCAGTGCTAAATGATACCAGAGGATGTCCATGCCCCTTAGGTACTTGCCAAGCATGACTGAAATTCTAGAGAAGCTACTGTGAGAAGCAAAACCTAATTGATCTCTCAGTTTTTCAGGACAAAGCTATTCACTACAAAGCAATGCCATTTATCAGAGACTTCTCTGTCTAGTGAATAATAGACTTTAGAACACTGGGATTAAAATGTCCAATGCACAACTGTCTCCATAGAGATTATGTAGCTTCCATTTCTTCTCCTACAGGAGGTAGGACACTGGCCAGGCGCTGAACAGGGAAAGCACAGACCCCACAGACAGAGTCTTCAGAGAGATTTGGAGGCCATGACTCCCCACCAGCACAAGCAAAAGACAACAAAACACCACAAGATACTTCATGTCCTGAGTTGCGGTTTTAGCCTCAGGAGTATTTTATTTAAGGAATGAACTAAAATTTAAGTCAATGTAATGCCAAACAGCACCAAAAAGTCCCCTCACAATCACATCTTCTTTTGGTATCCCTGTGACAGCATCCACACCCCCCTCATGTTTACATCCTGTTACTTTCTGCGGCTGTCCTCTCCTTACTTACCCTACAGCTCTGTACCTCAGCAAAGTGAAATGTTGATATTGAACATGAAAGAGAACCTCATCTGTGTGATGAGAGTAGTGAGCTGGCATAGAGCTGTCAAACAGCGGAAGTGTCTTACAGCTGCCATGGTATAATGAAAATGTTCTTTAAAACTCTGAGACAACTACAGAGCGAGACAGAAAATGAATCTGCCTGCACCCGAGGCTGTACTCTGTGTGTGTGCACAGAGTAGCATCTGCTCTGGACTGTACAGGCAGTTTGAGTTAGGGCAAGCCCTATTTCCAAACTGCTGACTCAACAGCAAAAAGGGGCAGGCAGAGCATTTTGTTTCCCATTTCCCCTGTGCCAAAATAAGTCATTATTGCAGTACTGTTTTGGAGAAGATGGGAGAATTGCCAGGATCCCAAGAATAAATCCCTCTTTGCAAAGGATCCGCTTTGGACACCCTCTCCCCTCCACAGTGCACAAGGCTTCTGCTGGAGCAGGATGGATGGAGCCTCACCCATGTTCACAGCCACACAAATTGAAGCAAAGGCAGGTGAGGTAGGAGGAAGCCTCAGCTCACTTGAGGAGAAGCTGTGAAAGTCACTGTCCAGCCCAGGGCATAATTTCTGGCTTTTATAGAATGCAGTCCACATACTGAATGTGCTTTTCCAGGAAGCAAAATAAAGATACACATGAAGCTTAAAACTGCAGAGTCCATGTATACGTGAACTTGCACATCAGACTGTTAAAAGACTTTCTTTACAGAGAGGACCAACACTATTTTGCCACAATTTGTGGAAAGCAGCTGCTAATTTCAGTGAATCTGACTCTGCTGCATTGCAAATGCTTCTTGACTCTAAGAAAGCTTAAGATTTATATGCTTCAGGCACTTAGGCAGAGATTTCCACAGGTCACCAGGGAATCTGGATGTAGAGCTCTTGCCAGAAGTTTGAAATTGAAGAGTAAGCACAGGCAAGCAAATATTTGAGGTATTTAACCTCCCCAAAAGGTACCAAGCTAAGCACCCAAGTGACTAACCACGTGCAGAAACACAAGCCTCGGATTTTGGGAAGTCATTTATATAGCATCAAGAAGCTGTTAAGAGATGTGGGAGCATTATCCAACACCTTTCCCTCAGACTTCAGTGCTTCTGAAGTCAGCAAAGGCACTGTGGGCACAGAGCATGATCAGCTTCAGGGCTTTTCATCACTGTTGTGATTTTATATGAAGTCAAAAAGCAGGAGGGGCATTTAGTAAGGCTGGTTTGAGGCCACAGAAAATACGAGATTACAGTTAAGAGGGAAAGATTGGTATGACCAAATCAATACTATACAATAAATTCACTAAGTGTGTTGTTAATCCCATTAGCTGAGTGGAGTAAGGTGAATGTGATGGGTACTAGGGAAACGGAAGATTGAGAGAGGCTAAAATTAAACATACCCAAGTGAAAGGGGCAATGAAAACTGTATTCTAAACCTTCTAAATTCTGAGATTTAGAGGACTATGTGCAGTTTGAAACCTTCACCTGAGAACAGATGTTGCATTGGCAGTTTGGGAGCTTGTATCACAAGAGAGACAGTGAACAGGGATGAAAGTGCGTGTTTTTCCACAAGTAAAAACACAGTAATGGCAAAATTCCACAGAGGAAGCTTATTAAACTATTTGCTAAAGACACTGCACTGTATCTTCAGAGAATTATACACTGAAAAGTAAGAAAACCATCATCGTAAAGACTGCTTGCAGGAGCTTACTAACTTGTACCACATCCCACATGCCCTCAGTGACTACTCAAACCTAGTGAAGAACTCTGAAAATGGAGAGGAGGTGGCAGCCAGACTAAGAAAAGAACTGCAGCCCTGGAGGAACAGGTATTTTAGGCACTCGCCAACATTTAAAGCAGAGAACTAAGCCAACATTGAGTCCGCGGGTATTTGTTTGCACTGCGCCATCAGTCAGTGGCCATTACATGCACAAGAGGAACAGGAAAGCAGCCTGCTAAGCATTAATTTCAACTAGGCACTCCAGTAAAAAGAAAACTTCTCTCCCTGTATGTTTAGAAGAAGCTAATGAAGACTGACTTCCACATTTATTTACATTTTCTCAGCACCAAGCTTTTCAGCTTTTAAGTTCTGTGTGCAACTTGAAAGCAAGGCAGAAACCAAACTGTTTGGAAGAGCACCATCTCTTTAGAGGATTAGGAATTAAGTTAACTGCACATTAGAGATAAAACAGTGGAGTGCTTGTCTTTATTCTTAATAATAAATCATAAGGCATTGAGCTACACAGCACGATTAACTTCTTTCAACTTCTCACTATTAGTGCTGAGCCAGCAACATGTACGTCTCAGAGAAACATTAAAAAAACAGAGTGATTAAGTTAAAATTAAGTGAATTTAGGGCAGGCAAAAAATTGTTACATTGCAACCTGGAAGAGAAGTTTTTTGTTCTTGTCAAGGGCAGCTTGAGCACAAATAGCATTAGAATGAGTTCCTCAAACCAAAAGTCATTCACAGTTTGAAGTGACCAGCTTTACATGTTATTCTGCATCCCTCTTCTCCTTCTTAACTCATGGTCCATCTAGCTATTCATTCTCTAGTCATCTCTACCAAGCTGCTGATAAGGATGAACTTGTGAAACCACAGCTGAGCTCCTCCTTTACCAGCTCCATGCAGTCTTGAACTTCACTTTTCTTTGACTGGGCTCCCCATTTATGAAATTCTTCTTATAAACATGACAAAACCACAAACCAAACCAAAAAATCCCAAACAAACAAAATCCATTCAAGTCTGTGAGACACAGAGCCATTAAACAACCAGGGCCACTTTATCATTAGACAATCAGTCCAACACATACTACCAGACAGCAACAAAACCAAAAACTTATCAAGACTCCTGGGAATAGAAACGCTCTCCACAAGATGCACAGTTTTCTAAAGACTTTAAGTCTTTAGCTATTCTCTATGGCTCAAAGAGGTACTAAGTTTATTCACCTGTACCCTGATCTAAGATAACTGAGGAAAGAGAAGGAACAGAACAAACATCCCAACCCTAATCTTCCTCCAAGTTTTAGCTGTAGCCTATAAGCAAACACCAGCATACCTTCTCCTATATTATCACCTTCACCTGTGGGAGAAGCTCACCTGAAAGGTAGGCAAAGTTATTGGTTTGAGCAGCCATCAATTTCCACCTTAAAGTGCTTCTTTACTGCCTGGAAAAGCTGGGCAACACTTAAACCCACTGAAAAAGCTTTGGCACCAAAGCCCATCCTGTTCAGGCAAAGCTGTATCCTCGTCTTTGCACAGTCCTGGTTGTTTCATACCCAGTTAGTGAGCCACCTTTTCCTGCGTTACACAGAATCCAGCACAGGGGCCTCAGATCCAAGACTAGGCAAATCTAAACAAAGAACAGCTTCATAGGGAACAGCTGAAATCATCACGGCATGACATGCAGGAGCTGCTTGGAGGTGAAGCACCCTCCTGGTACAGAAGTTCCCCTTTAGATCCTATTTCTGCAGTTGTGTGAAGTCCTAAGCAAAGTGTCAAAGCCCTTTCATCTAGATATAATGATGTGACAATGGTGGAAGACATGCCTTAGCCAAGCATGCAAGGCTCATTGAGTATCTGGAGCTTTGTGGTGGCCTTTAGCCATTACAATTCAGCTGCAAACAGAGTGCAGTACCATATGCATACGCAGTATGCCAGGCTGTGCTCTGAGGTGTTTGCCACCTAACCACACAAGGCAGAATTAGAACCGCTGAAAATTTTCCAGGAAAATACTGGAAAAAAGCAATAAACCAAAACAAAAATGCATCCTGGAAATGTACTAGCTTCCAACAACAGAAGTAAGTTTCCCCATACACTTCGCTAGGAGGCTGCAGGGATTTCACAACACCACAGGCAAAACAAACATGTAAATTACCTGAAAGGGGCTTTTGGTTTAACTGCAGGATCAGCAGCCTCAGGAAACTTGTGTCTCCTTACGTTGACAGAGCTTTGAAATTTGTGATCTGTGAACCCCATAGGGAAAATATGAGAACTGAGTCTTTGGTCAGATTTCATAGGCAAAGATTTTCATTAGTAACTGGTTTTGGGTCCTCTGAACTGGTATGTACCAGTAATATGGGGAACCTGAAAGTCTGGTTACTGCAAAGTCCCAGTTCTTGAACCAGCAGTCCTGAGAAGCTTGGCTTGCTCTGGAATAAGCACAGCAATTCACAGAGAGGTGATATCTGCTTCCTGAAGCCAGTATGGTCCCAGCTCTCCGTTTGCTCTGCTGGCATACAACCTCAGGATGTGGCTGTGCTTGGGCTTTAGAAACCATTACTTCATTTTGGGTAGAACATTTCAAAATAACATTTCCTGTTTTGTCTTTTAAAGTTATCTGGAGAATTTCGCTCTCCACACAGAAGAGTGACTTTTTTTGTTCATTGTTTTCATAGATCCTGTAGATGGAGACAGGATACAATGTACAATATACACGGAGAGGTTTGGGAAATCAGGTTCATTTTGATATTGGGTAAACCTGTGAGTCTCCTGCTGAGCTGAAAAAACAATACAGAGCTCCACAATCAAAGACTGGTGCCATTGCCAGCAAGCCTGTTCCCCTTGTATTCATGCTTTACCAAGAGAATCAAAATAAGCAATTGCCACAACTTTTCCCATAACTCTCATCATTTTTTTCATACCTGTGGCAAATTCAGGAACCCCTGGGATTTCTCTGATACTCAGCAGCAAAAGAGTTTATTATTATCTTCAACAGGTCTTCAGATACCTACAGGAAGAAAGGATTCACAAGTATCATCAGCCTCTGTCTTTGCACCACTAGCAGGTTCAGAATTTCGCATAAAAAAATTTTACCTTGGAACTAAGTGTTCTATTATGTACAAATCATTCCCATTTCATCTCCTTTTAGGCCTCCCGTTGAACTCATTATACAATCTTCTGTCCCTTCCTCAAAGCATAAATACTCTCATAAAAGATCCTCTCCTAGTGTTTTTACAATCATCAGATATTTTTACAGGCTACTAACTCCATATTTGCCAATACATAAGCCATTCATCAGAACTTCCTGAAGACAGGAGAAAAGGTAACAGCAAACCAATCTTCCTGCATAAAAGCCAAAACTCAAATCTAGTATTCTAGATAAAAGAAAATCCTACAATTTTACACTTAACCATCACATTTTGCCTTTTGTCCCCCCCAGTACAGGTAATTTCAAGAGTCTTTTTCCTGTCTTGATGAGTTAAGAGTGCAATATGAGACTCTTTCACTGCAAGTTTACTCATAGGATGTGTTTAAAATTAAATTCAAAAGCATGAATCACCAAGTGTAGTGTTGCAGAGCTGTCTTCGTATTTTTCAGTTGGATTCCCTTTGCTAAAACAAAGCACTCAGCTCACACACCAAAATGCTGCAGGCATCTGCATGCAGAGTATTTTGGAAGTGAAAGTCTAGGACTTTCATGATTTACCCTTCAGTGACAGGCAAATTCAGTCCTGCACATTTGGGCAGAACTAAAGTTGTCAAACGCACATGCACAAAAATCAGGTCCAGTTTGATCCCACAGTAATCTAGATGGCAGAATTTACTCATGTAAACGATCAACTAGACAGAGATCCAACTACTCTATGCTAGATTTACTGGAAATAGATTGTTTCCTGTTTCATCAAGCAGTCTTGGTGCCATTCAGAGCCAAGTTTACTAAATCAAAGCTGCAGAGATAGGAGAAAAGTTAATGGAGTTTAGAAATAGCAGTGATAGAAAGCTACTGCAGTTATTACAGAACAATTCTTAAAATCCAGTGTCCACTTTGACTGCAATTCCTCCAAATTCAAGACAACCTAAAGATAAAACTAAATAATCTGCCAGAACAGACTTGCTGCATTCCTGATGGGTATTAGAAAATAAAACTGGGCAGGGGGATGGAGGGGGATTGCAGAGACAGACCCAACAAGAAACATCATGATGAAACCTCTTATATTGAGTTTCCAATAATAGACCTAAAAGCTTTTTACGGGATGAATAAAGGCACCGATTCTCTGTATGACTTCCTTAAGACTCTCCAGCAGGCTAGAATCATAGAATCCCAGACTGGTTTGGGTTGGAAGGGACCTTAAAGCTCATCCAGTTCCAACCCCTGCCACGGGCAGGGACACCTTCCACTAGAGCAGCTTGCTCCAAGCCCCTGTGTCCAACCTGGCCTTGAACACTGCCAGGGATGGGGCAGCCACAGCTTCTCTGGGCACCCTGTGCCAGCGCCTCAGCACCCTCACAGGGAAGAGCTTCTGCCTAAGAGCTCATCTCAGTCTCCCCTCTGGCAGGTTAAAGCCATCACCCCTTGTCCGGTCTCTGTGTGTCCCTCTCCATATTTCTTGTAGGCCCCCTCTAGTCCTGTGTTTGAAATCCAATTTTAATACATGCAATCATCTGAAGAAACAGCCTACAGGAAAACACGCACTTGATTTACCTCCACACAACTGGAGTGAGAACAAACTTTACCTCTAATTTTTCATAGTCTGGCTGCATCCCCACATTACCAGAGCTCATGAGTCCTGCTATCACCCTAAATGTATACAGTGCTGGGAAACACACAGTTTCCAATTCAAAAATCCTTTTGGAGCTCCTGCTTCTTACACCCAAGGTGGAGGATACAGCCCACGCTGGTAAAGAAGGGGAGTGACTGCTGCAGACAGGTTGTCTGGCACCATTGTCCTGCCGGCTGCCCGGGCCCGCATGCTGCCTCAGCTGGATGGGATTTGAAAACAACTTTTCCCACTTTCACTTGTCTATGAAACTCAAGCTTAGTGAAGAAAAAACTCACCCAAGTATTGCTCCTTTGTCCTTCCAAAGCTGAGGGCGCCAGGCCCTGCACACGAGGGGCAGGGCTCAGAGGTGCTGCCAGGAATACAGAGGCACTTACTGCCTCTTTTGATGACAAGGAAATGAATACACTGCGAAAGCCTACTCTCTTATACCTGCTCCTTTTCTTACTTCATCTTTCCATCACCTCAGGCGACATGACAGCATTTTTTCGCCAGCCTTTACTTCAACTTGCTGCGTTCCTCAGCTCGCTGTGTTTCTCAAAATGCCTTCATCAGAGTAACTCCCGACCTAGACTCATCCTAACACCTTGCAGGTGTACAATCAGAAGCGTCCCGGCTCAAGAGCTCCCGGCAGGCAGAGTCTGCCCGAGGGTTAAAAAAACACCTCAAACAGGCAAAAAGCCCCCAAAACTACATGTTTAAGGTGCCATACGAGCCCGACAGGCTAAGGCGCCAACTCCCTCTAGTGTCCGTGCACGCCGCCCGCGCCGCCGCCATGTTGGCTGTGGTTTCTCTCTCCCACACTGCCCTCTGCAGCTCGCTGCCAGGCTGTGCCTGCAGGGACTAAAGGCCTCAAACTGAAGGAAAGTATAGTAAAATAATAATAAAAGGAGTCCAGAGGGGTCCTTCCACTCGGAACTGACTGGCCAGAGCAGGCCCATGTAATTCCCTGAGGCACCAGCACCTCATGGGCCTGGCCACCTCAGCACAAGCACAGGGTCTCTCATGTGCAGCTGACAAGAATCTCTCATTTTCTCATCAAAATATACCAACTTCAGGCAAGATGAAGACGATTAATCAGTTTCTGCAAGCATGTCACCAGCTGGAGGTGTTTCTGCCCCATGCAGTGCACTGTGTTGTGGTATCACCAGACAGATGCCTGAGGAGCAGTGAGCCGGACCAGGCACAGACACACCTGCCTGCTGCAACTGTATTTTGTTAAATAGATCCTTCAAAGCAACAGATTAGTATATTGCTGTAATATTCAGTGGTATTTAGAGCTGCAGAGCTCCAGATGCTCTGTCAGCCACAATAATACAGTTAAGTGGAAAATGAGTCATTCAAAACCGTAACAACTATCATAGCATGACTCCGCTGACGACAAAGCACAATGGTAATACTGCAAGGTGGATGGTACGTGTTCGTCAGGGCCATTGGCCCTGGGAGGCTCTGTCTCTGCAGCTCCCCAGCCCTGGTGCTGCTGAAGGGAGCCCAGCGTGGGGTGGCACAGCTGGCTGGGGTGCCCTGTCCTCCTCTGAGCATGTGGGTGCGAGCCACCATTGCCTCAACACCGTGTTCCACCTCACGGCTGCTGATCCACCTCGCTGCTCGGCTTCATGAAGAATGCTGTTGTGGATCCCAGGAGAGCAGAGGAGTGCGCGGATATCAGCTGTGGTGAGGTAGGACCGCTCTGTTCAAAGGAGTCTTCCTCAGTCAGACCAGCTAGCCCAGGGGCTCAGACCACAGCGGCCATGGGAGCAGGGTGCTGCAGGGCTGCCACCCTTCCTGAGGGAACTGGTGCCCATGGGGACAGCCCAAATTCCAGGTGCTGTCTGGGGGCAGGTCGGTTTGGGGCATGGCCCTTCCTTTTGTGGGAAAGGAGATGAAGGCTCTGTCAAGCCCACTTTGTGCCTCAGCCTGGACAAAAAGCACCAGGGCCATGTGGGGCCATGCTCTGCTGCCTGCTCCTCAGGCCCTGCTCAAGGGAATGTCCCTTGAGGCAGGAGCTTTCATAGCAGCAGGGCTGTGTTAGCTCTCTGCTGACATGGCAGAGGTGACTAGGGTAGAAAAGCTAAAAACAGGGCCAAGTTTTCTGCTGGCATGAAGCAGACAGCTCTGATGATTGTATATAAACCATTTTAATTTATGTCCTTAGAAAATCTGGCATTAGTTTTTTTCCCCATCCTCAAGTGAAGCAATTCTCTTGCTTAGTCCTTGGGTAATCTTTTCAAAAGCCAGGTAATGGAAAAAAACAGAGGAATATCCTCACTAAAGGCTGAGGGTTTGCTGAGCTGACAAATACTAACTCATATCATATGTACTATTTTGCTATAGAGATGCATCTTTTATTCCCTTAACATAAGCAATGTGGTTTGTTGCTAGACTGTAGCACCATGCAATTTAAACCTAACTCTCCACAAGATGATTGCCTTTATCTTGCTGAATGCTCTGGGTATGGACCACTTCTAGTCCCTCATATTAAATGTGATAAAGCAAGGTCAGTCCTTAGACAAACCTGATCTCTGTGTGCCACAGCACCGTTGAGATTTCTGTCAGTTATGCAGGGGAACAGGAGAGCTCCTCACAGATAAAAATAATTTACAGCTCTATTCACCTTGCACAAAACAGCACTGCCATCTCGACATCCTACACACATTTCAGTCTCTCTTTAACTACCCTCTTGTGGTATCTCTGAAGAACGACAGCCTTTTCTAACAGGCTAAAATAAATCCAGCTCTTCTTGACCATCCCAGTATTAACTGAGGCAAAAGTTTCCTTTAGAAGGGCAAGTAGATGGTGATTGGTTTAGAGTTTGGTTTGTTTTTTCAACAAATGCTCTCCAAATGCATCTTGCTTGCCCCAGATACACTGAGGCCCTTCTAAAATGCAGGCTATTGAAAATTCCACAAGTTTATACTTGCATTTTTAGTTGTCTTTAAAAGAAAAGAAAAAATAATCTACACCCCCTCCCCAAATCCATCATTGATTCAACAGAAACCAGTTAAGACCTTTGAAAATGCAAAGCACAAGGTGCACCTCATCAACATACAGTAATATCTTGTATTTGATACGTAAAGTCTCTACTTAATGAATTCATTAAGTTCTCACTTATTTTCTTGTGTTGAAACAAATATGATTGTATTGTGGATGGATGGTTAAGTTTCTAGGACTAAATGCAACTTTTGCAGTAGAGAAATGTATCCCAAATGCAACCCAAGTGCTTGTTGTGGGT